CTCCATTTAAGATAGTCTATTTTATCCAGTAATCTACCTGACCTTCCCACCACCTGGATCTCTGTTCTTCTGTGTTTACCTTTTTTCACATTGTAGTTGTTTTGATCATAGATTGGGACCATCCCCTGAACCTGCTTGGTCGGGTATTCTGTGTTGTTGTTGGCGGAGCTCTCTGCTGTACGTCCACCCAATCCGCCATCTTGTTTGTTCCTTGAGGTTCATCTGTTTTTGTAGTATGTATTAGCACTTCTGTTTTTCCTTAATATAGTAAATAATCATGCAGCTATATGTACATGAACCACATTTTGTTTATTCATGTTACATTGTTTATTCATTGATTATTAGGCTATTTCTAGAATTTTTTGATATTATGAATAATGTTATGAACATTACTCACATTCTATGTAGATAAAAGTTTTCATTTCTCTTGGGTGGATACCTATCCCTTAGTTGCAGCAACACATCAACAGTGAGCTTCCAGAAATTCAAACTAAATGCAGTATATTTGGGTTCAAGGATATCATTGCTGACATCAGAGAGATCGTGACTGAAAAAAGAGAAGACCAAAAAGATGTTTACTTGTGTTTCATTTACTATACAAAAGCATTTGACTGTGTGGACCATAACAACTAGATATAACAGTGCAAAGAATGGTTCCCAATCATTTAATAGTGTTCATGAGAAACCTGTAAACAGAACAAGTGGATAGATACACTCTCTGTTTTAAAATTAGGAAATGTGTATGTCAGGGTTGTATCTTTTCACCATACTTACTCAGTCTGTATGCTGAGTAAATAATCAGAGAGACTGGATTATATGAAGAAGAATGTGGCATCAAGATTGGAGGAAGGCTCATTAATATCGACACACAGATGACACAGTCTTGCTTGTTGAAAGCAAAGAGGACATGAAGCACTTGATTGAAATCAAAGGATACAGCCATCAGTATAGTTTACTACTCAATGTAAAGAAAACCAAAATCCTTACAACTTGACCTAATAAGCACCATAATGGTAAACAAAAAAAGATTGAATTTGTAAAGGATTTAACTTGGATTCACAGTCAATGTTCATGTAAGCAGCAGTCAAGAAGTGAAACATTGCATTGCATTGGGCAAATCTGCTGCAAAAATCCTCTCTTTAAAGTGTTAAAGAGCAGTGATGTCATTTTAAGTACTAAGGTGCATCTGACTCAGACCATGGTAAATTCAATTATTTTATCGATATGTTTGAAAGCAGAATAATAAAGAGACTGGAAATTTCATGTTTTTGAATTTTTTTTAAAAAATTCAAGTTTGTATAAATATCTGGCTCCATTTTTAAGAGTCATATTTTCCATCATTTGTAGGTCCCTGTTGTTAAGTGCCATTGAGTCATTTTTAACTCATAGCAACTTTGTATTAGGTTTCCAAGGAGCAATTGGTGGGTTTGAATTGCCAATGTGTGGTTCTCAGTCCAGTGCTGATCCTAGAGCGTCGCAAATTTCCCACGTGCAAAATGTAGATAATTAGTTTTCCTGTTCCAGAGTTCTTTTTTCTCAAGTATTTTGATTATAATGTGGTTGTCCTTTTTTTTTCAGTCACTTAAACTAGCTCTGGTAGCGTAGTGGTTACGAATCGGGCTGCGAACCTTAAGGTCAGCGGTTCGAAACTACCAGCCACTCCGCGGGAGAAAGATGAGGCTTTCTACTCCCGTAAAGATTTACACCCTCGGAAACCCTGTACAGGGTCGCTATGGGTCGGAACCGACTCGATGGCACTTAACAACAACAAACTAGAAAGTTTCAAGTCATAATTAGTTTCTCTATATCTGTGAACCAAATGCAAGCAGTTGTCAACTCCCGTCCATTCTGCTTCAAAAATAAGTATTGTAGTGTAAAATTTGTATCCAAAAGCAGTCTGATTGACCAGTTTTTTTAACCTTCTCAAAGAATATAGAGCGATACTTTCCAGTGCTGAAAAGGAAGACAGACCTTCTGAGACAAAATGAAGTGCAGAGAAAACCAGTTGCCGTTCTCAAGAGACCTAACCAATTAAACAGAAAGTAAGTATTTAAGTATAAGATAATAATGTGTTACCCTTCATAAATAGAGGTATAGTTTTTTTGTAATAAGTGTTGAGAAGATGGATTTGCAATGATTTCTCTTAGTTACTCGGTCATTTTTATATAATTTGGAATGTCTATAGACTCCTGGTGTGGCGCTGTAGGATCAGCACTGGACTGCAAACTATAAGGCCAGTAGTTCAAACCCACCAGCTGTTCCTCTGAAACCCTATACAGGTTGCTGTGATTTGGAACTGACTTGGCAACTCTTAACAACATTTGAACATCCAACATGAAAGCACTTGAGCACCAGGTTCCTTATTAGACTCAGAGTTACTGATGACTTCATTTTTTTTTTTTT